ACCTCTAATTAAAAGTTGAGAAAATGACATTGAAAAAGTGAATAGTGCATAAACGATGGCCTTTCCCTTATAAAAATAGAATTGTGTTTAAGGTAAAAAATAAAAATCAAAATGAAGTCAAACAAACTGAAGCAAACAATAATGTTGCACATGTCTACATTTTTTTTTATTTTTGCTTTAAAAAAACTAAAAAAGATTTCTCTGATACAAAGATTAAAACAATTTTGACATAATTATACTTGAACCTCTCATGTTTGTTGAAACTTTATTTATGAAGATTGATGATTTTAATATTTTCATTGTGGGTTTCCTAGAGTTGAATATGTTTGTTATACATTCTAAAGGAATAATGATTTAGCTCGTTTCCTAGTTTTAATATTGATTTCTTCATTTTACAACTTTCAAACTGTGTTTTGTAATTAGAATAAAAAGTGCTGATGGGAACCCCCCCCCCCCTTTTTATTACGGGATCTGAGATGGAATTTAAAGAATTTGAGCCGCGGTTTAAATCCGCCAAAACCCGGTTTAAATTAAGCGCCGGCTTAAATCTTGAAACATTTGATACAATTTTAGGTGGAACCAACCATATTTAAACCGCGGCTTAAATTTAAACCGCCGTTCAAATTCTTTAAATTCGGCCACTGAGCCCCCAGCCCCCTGTAAATTTACCTCAAACGTTCCTGGTTTGTTAATGAGACTTACAAATATTTATTTTAAGATAACATTTTTAAAATTATCTTAACCCTAAACAGGCCGTGGGAGAGGGGGCGTTTGACGCTATCACTGTGAATTTTGTTTACCTTTAATGAAAAGAAATTTAAAGAATTTTTTGTACAAATTTTTTCCACATTTCCAGATTTAGGTGCCAAGCGTATTGCTATCTTTGCAAAGAGGGTCAGATTACGCTTGACATCATTTTGATTTTTTAAGCTTTAAAACAGGGCTTATATCAGACTAGATAAATAGCTGGAAATATTAACGGTTTACGACATCTGGTTGCAAATTTATAAGAATGAGAAAATAAGACTTTGGTAATCATCTTTTTAAAATTAATGTTTACAAATTTTAAATACTTTTAAAAGACTTAATTCATATTTATAAATCTTTAAGTTTTTAAAAAATTAACTGACATCCACCCCCCCCCCTTTAAGCCCTGTCAGCCCCTGTATTCCATATGCCTGAACTGCCCCAAGAAAGAGAATTGTATTTCTGCATGACAGAGTATGGTTCTGCATGAAAACTATTCCAAATAGCGAAGACAACAACAAATATTATGATTATTCTGACTGACCGATCTAAACCCTGCCTGGCCTGGATAAAAAGGTCTTATTTTACCCGTGTCTAGATTGCTCAAGTCGAATATGCCCAAGATAAGGCCTTATATCTACACCATAGAGAAAGCAGGTTGTTAGCAAGGTTCAGTTTAGACTGAACAAAACTAAAGAGAATATCTATCTATCTAACGAACTTTCCATCTAAATATCTATCTATCTATCCTGGTGACTATCTAACTGTTTATCTGAAGGATACCGGGGCCTCCTCCTCCACCTCTACAACAACAACTTGAGGTTTACCATCGTATACAACAACTTCCTATTTAACATTCATCAATAATAAACTTTCATTAATCATGACCCCGCCCCCCCTCCCAAAAAAAAATAGAAAATTCGCCCTTCATTCATTCTCGATTAATTGCGTTACTCAATCTTCTCGTAATCATGTGAAAGATTTGTAATTTGTATGGCTAAAAGTATTTAATTCTAACAATTTCCGACATTGGCTCTCAAATTTATTCAGTATGAGCCAAAAAACAGTAGAAATCTTGGCGTCTTCTTTACTCTTTACTCATAATATGTCTTCAAGGATTTTATAATTTTAAATCGAACTATTTTATAGTGTCCTCCTGGCTCCTGACGTATCATTTGCAACAATTAAAAAATCCATTTCCACATTTCCTAAGTAAAAGGAGGAAGACAGACAACATTCATTCTACAGTTTTCATGTTTAATTTTAATCAAGTTAAGGGGACTTTTCATTTTCCTTTAAACCCATTTTCCTCCTTAAAATGAAGATTTTATTCTATTTGCAATTTTTTATTTTGTCATTGTACAACAATTATCATTATAAAAAATGTTCTTTTCGACGGATTTTGACTCAAAGCTTGAAATTTGACAGGGCTAATTCATCAGGTTTACTGTCCAGTTTTGTACTCTATTGCTTACACTAGCTGCTTAAAAGTCGGCCCTGTAACCCCCACCCCCCCGGGTCAAAATAGTTCAACGTTTAGTTTGGCGAGCATGGAACTGAATAGAATAAGGTATATAGATTACCACAAGGAGGTTACATTTATTTTGATCGACGTCCATTTGTGTGGAAAGGAAATCTAGAATGTAGAATAATATATAGGGGGACGAGCTTACAGGGGGGGGGGGGGTTGCAAATGTTGTGTAAATTATTTTTTGCGGCTATAACTATATAATATTTTTATCCGAATCATAAAAAAATATTTTTACATGAAAGACTGGGAAACCTGCCCATTGCCCATCCCTTTTTGTAGCAACGTAGATATATGGGTGGCTGGAAAAGGAAAGAAGGAAAGAAAAGGGGGGGAAAGTTATAATCCCTCCCCCCCTGCTAGTATAACCTTCACTGTTTTCTGCTGATAAGCTATATTTTTTTCTATCTTTATTCACATATCTTTGTGTACCTGATGATACTATGTCTATGGAGCAGCGAATTTTAAAATTGCATCACAGATAGGGTTTTTAATCGTTTTTGAAAACGATCGTTTTTTGTTTCGTTTTTCAATTATTTTCAAAAACGATTGTTTCGTTTTCGGAAAAAAAACAATCGTTTTTTAAAAACGACTCACACGAATAACAATCGTTTTTATAAAACGATTTGTGACCGTTTTTATACGATTGTTTTTTAAAAAACGATCACGGTTGAAAAAAAGTGTATTGACAATCATTTTAACGATCGTTAACGAAGTGTAGTCGTTAACAATCGTTTACGAAGGGTCGTCGTTAACGATCGTTAACGAAACGACGAGTTTTTTAAAAAATCATTTTAATCATTTTAAAACGAACTTTTTAAAAAACTGATAGTTTTTAAAAACGGTCGTTCCATTTTCGATTTTTCGTCGTCGTTTTCATAAAGAGACGATCGTTTTTCAAAGAAATGAAAACGTTAACATCCCAAAATTCACAGAGTTTCTATGTAAAATTAGCTTACGAAGCGGACATTCAATTAAAAAGTGTCACAATAGAATATGTTCTTAGATAATTTATTATCAGCGTAATGACAGGAAGCTTATTGTTTATTTACTACGAAATCATTGCACCTAAATATCAATAGTTTTAAATCATGGTAAAGATTTAATATTTGAGGTTTTGCATGGTCTAGTAGAGAACTGGCACCCGGCGTTAAATTTACAAGAATACGTGCGCAGCATGTTTTACTGAAATGCATTTTAAAATCTATATAAAAAAGCTTTGGCTGGCCAAAAGGCTGGAGCTTCAGCTAAAATCACGATTAAATACCAAACCATGGGTAAACGGTGGGCCGCGGGAGTAACAATTAATGACTATGAATGAAAATATAAACCAGTAAACCTGGGCAATGCCGAGTACTCCAGCTTGTGTTTAACATAATTTCAAATTTTTCTAGAGAAACATATTGATGCTGCGACATTCTAAAAAATGGAAATAATTTTTAATCTTTAAAATTATTGCTTGAATAATTTTTGTTGAACAGATGTATCTGATTAATATTGTGGTTCAGCTAATTTCTTTGTTCTGGATTTTAAACTGTTTTGAAAATTCCTATATATTTTCTTGTAGTTGAAACTCTTGTAAAGAACTCTCACAACTGAAAACAATCAGTTTTTAAATTTTCAAGCTTCACGATATCTAAAGTTTACTATTAAGAATACTGTTGTAGATCGGGCATTGACATCTTTGTAAGGAAGGTCATTTGAATTTACGCATAACTCCTGTATGCCGAGTCCATTAGCGCCTGATCCAATTGAGTTTTTAATTTTATTTGCGATTGGTACTTTTAAACATATTCTTCGTATAGCAGAAAATCACTTATTTTATCTATGGCGCGCTGTAATCGAGTTTAGCAAGACAAATGTCGATGAATATAGACAAAGGTTAAAAGAATTGAGCCTGTTGAATTATTTTCTTCAAGTAATAATGTAAGATGTAAAATAAATGTAAATAATTTAATGTAAAAGTGTAAAATGTAAATAATGTAATGTAAAAGTGTTAAATGTAAATAATGTAAATACATGAGTTCTGTAGAGAGAAATTTAAGTTAGTAAGCTAAGAGCTTTTTATATAGATTTCCCATAACATTATCTTTATATTTTTACATTTTTGATTTGAATATTAATTACTAAATTAGGCTGAAATTACAAATTGTGATTTTTAAGCCTTTTAATTTAAAGGATTGCTTGAAATATGACAGACAAGACCTTTAAAATTGGTAAATAAACATAAGTTGTAAAATTACAAAAGTAATTTTATTGAAAAAGCAGAAAACGTCTCAAATTTCTCTCTTGTTAGTTTGAACACGGGCCTGGAGATTTCAATGCGGTTTATTCTGAGATTCCGTCACGGCTAGCGGAGGTAGTATAGGGGGGGAGGTAGGTGGGGGGAGTAGGGATACAGCGAACTACATGTATCATTCAAAACTTAAAGCCATCATTTAATGAGGCAAACTTAGATCATTAAAAATGTTAATAGACTTTTCGAAAAAATAAAACGGTATAAAATCGTTCTAACCCTAGTCCTTGTCAACTCTGTCCGGTGGGACTGCATTAACCGGGATCTGCAGCGCATAGAACGGTTAATGAGCTTAACACCGGACCCATGGCGTTAAAGTCACCAGAGCGACACCATTACTAAGATAGATAGATAGATATATAGGTAGAAAGATAGAAAGATAGATATAGATAGATATAGATAGATCTACGGAGCGGAAACATCGGAGACAAGTAGAACTAGTAGAACACTGTGAGTCAGAGGGCATTGTTGGTAAACACTCAAGTGTACTGCAAGTTCTGTGTAATCACCCCTATAGTGTACTGCAAGCCCTGTAAATAAAAGTGGAAACATATTATCAGTGATTTAAATCTGGAAGAAGAAAAAACTGTTTTTGAATAAAACAGGTTTGGCTAATATCAAAGTAATTTTTTTCAATTATTAGCTCTCCCCAACGAGGTTATAGTATATAGAGTGATGATGCACGCTAATCCTTTACTAATTGTACAATGTACAGGCCATGTACTTCACTTCCAAAGGTCAATCTGTATATTTCAGTACACGGGGGTGATTTCTGAAAATNCATTTTTACAGGAAGACGTACTATTACAGTCTATTACAGAGCAATATTTCATCGTTAATAAACTGTTCTGAGAAAACTGAGTAAAATTCAAGATACAAAACCTCCCCATACACGTGTACTCCGAGAGCGTACTGCATATTTGATATTTGTACTGTATGAATAGGCCATAATCTCTTAACATCCTTTATCAGTAAACTATTTTTAAATATCATCAATTTGCTTTTCTCAAATCTAGATCGAGGAGCTACAAGGTTACAACATCATGCCAGTAATTTCGCGTAATTTTGTCATTATTGTAAAGAATGAATGATGGGGGGGGGAAGGGGGAAGGATGAATTTGAATTTATTCTGTCGGATATTTCTAAGATGAGAGATATTTTTCTTCAGCTCTAGACTTAAAGGGACTTTAAACGTAATTTAATTTAAAATGTTGCCAGTCCTATTCCCAACGGTACCCTTTAACGTTTATCTAAACAACACTGAGGAAGATATCGGTATTTTTCTTTCTTAACATTTTGAATTCTGTCGATTTCTTTAAGAAATCTTGTTTGTTTAATATCAAGTTATATAATCGAATTCTTCCTCAATTCCAATTGTTAAATCAAAAAAAATAAGTTTACTTCTTATTTGTAAATAATGATTACTTTATTTCCACTAAAGTTTTTTTTAAATAGTGAAAAGCATAAAAAAAACAATATGAGTGTGCTGCGTAGGAACACCACCCTAAAGCTTTTTTATTGCAAATTCTTAAGCATTTATTATTATAAAATTTAGATATTCTGACATAACTATTTGTTATTTATGAAACATTTGTCGCATATTTGTATATTGGATTCACAAGTGCAGTATTTACAGAGGGTGTAAAAAATGTAATATAAAACTTAAAAATAAAATAAAATTAGAACAAAATTTTTAAATCATAAAACCACGTTCACAGTTTTTTTTTCAAAAGTACTTTTTTATTTCTCATAATTTATCTAGTTTCTCCTGCATAATTATTATTCATAATATCTATAATTATAAATATATAGGTCACATAATTACTAAAGGTAAAGCCTTACATCAAGGCTAAACTAAACAAATAAAAACAAACGATTTTTTATAATTTGTATCCTTATTACCAAGATTTGATCGATATTATTTTGCCATTTTGTCTGTTTGGAATTTATCATAGATAAAGATAGATTGCACATAGGACGACATTTTTCATCTTGAAAGATATAAATGTACTGAGATGTTTTAAAGATATTCCTACTATATAGATTAACTAGGTCGGTTGTGAACATTGGCTGTTCTTGTCATTGAGTATTTGTGGTGTACATGAGTTCTGTAGAGAGAAATTTAAGTTAGTTTAGTCCTTCTCATGTCCTTCTTCAGTTCTAAAAATAAAATTCACTCCTGAGTGGTTTAATAATTATGAAATCCATTAAAACACCAAACCACCCCGCTTTTCATTGAATTACAATTTGACCCCTAGAAGTATGAGTTCGCGGACTGTACAATTCTTGGTGATTTTGCGTACATAAGCTATCTATGTTTATTTATTTATCTATGGAATTTATTAGTTTCTCTATTTTTTATGTCGTGTCATTTTTACCTTTTCTATCTGTATGTATTCATATTTTCTATTGCAATGTTGTGTTCATAAAATATGCAAAAATCATATAATTCATTATGATATAAAATAATAATTCGAATTAAAAAGATGAAGGTACAGAATATATCAGAATCAATAAACAATTTTACAATTTTCACTTCAAAGTATAGTTTGAAATCTTATATGATTTTAATCATAATAAACTACTTTGATAGAAGAGCTAATAATAAGAATTATAATTGTTTGATTTTCTTATATGTAGCAGGATAATTTGCATTTCTCATACTTCAAAATTAGAGGAGCTACGAGGTCCCAAAGACATACCAATAAATTGACATAAAACTGTGTCAAAATTATACCAAAACGTATATATGTAAAAAATACGTCCGTATCACGTGAACAGAACTCCCTCCGATGATACCGATGGAGACACGTGACAATAATACCAATGCCATTGGTTGCAGTTCTGGTGACATTTTCCGGAGGCATAAATAGTATTATCAATTATTTATATCAAAAATAACAAATTATTAAATTCAAATAATAAAAGGAGCAAATTTGAGTTTCTCAGGCTCCTCTGGGATATCGTTGTTTTCAAATTGGTTGCGTATTTGTTGAATAGTATCTGTTTAATACTAGGAATCTTATAACAAAATCTTATATATATATATAAGGTATAGTATTTTTTTGACACAGTTTTATATCAATTTTTCGAGACAGAAACATCAAATAGAACTCCTATATGTCTCAATCAACTCCTGAGATTATTTTTCCTTTACAGTTCCTTTAAAAATGATTTTTATACTAGACTTAACATGCATTTTCAAGGAATTATTGTTTAGAAAATAAATTACTTTAAATATCCGAAAATTAGATGTCTTGGCTCTTGAAATCTCATTGCTAAAATGTATAAGATATAAGGGAAGGATAATCATTTTCTGTTTTCTATTAATTTTTTTACATTTTGCAATCAAAGAAAATTTTCGATATAAGCTATTTCATGCCCAACATACACAAATCATACATTATCTGGCATCAGCTGTCTAAACGATTGGTTTTAGCTCTGGTATAAAATATAGATTTCCAAGAAAAAAAGAATAAACTTTTGATAATAATTAAAATCAACCCTTTTATATCAATTCTTTTCTTTGCCTGACAATTGAACAGAACAGCTGCTTGTAACTATAGATAAGATATCAGAGGCCGAATTTAAAAAATTTGTGCCGCGGCTTTAATTTGAGATGCGGCTCAAATATGGTTGGTTCCACTTAAAATTGTGTTCATTTTCTAAGATTTAAGCCGGCGCTCAATTGAAATTGGGTTTCAGCGAATTTGAGACTCGGCTCATTCATTAAATTCAGACTCTGGTGGAATTAAAATTACTATAAAAAATTCGGTAGAACAATTTTAAATAAAAAGATTGCATTAAATAAACCCTCATGTTTCTTAGCTGGAAGGGAAATGGGGGGGGATTTGCCCTTCCCCTTAATTCCGCCATATATAATAATGTGACGTGTTGTAATTTAAGTAGATTACATCTGTGTAAAATATAACGAATCACAGCGCGTAAAATTATCAAAGTCAAAAGTCAACTCCATGAAAAATGAAAGTTAGCAATGCTTTGATTCAGGCTTTACAAATCGCTTCATTGCTCTCCCCCCTCTTCCTTTTTTCTATCTATTAAATGCAACCGCACCCCCCTGTCTTCCCCTCCCCCTCTCTTTTCTCCTTATATGAAAAGGTTTAAGAAAATATGAAATCTGAATGACGAATCAAGTTTGACTGAATTCAAATCAATCAAAAATGAAATTAATGATATTTAATTTAATTGGTCTTTATTAATTTAATGGGTCTTTATTTAATTAAAAAAGAGGGTTATGTCCGATTTTCAACGACAAACATGGTTGATAAAGACATAATATAATCTTTGGTTGATCAAGACATAATATAATAAAAAATCTATGTTGTGGTTTCTCCAGGCGAGTACCTTCGCATTTATGCTACAAAAACAATGAAATAAACTCTCCAGTACCGTATTTAGAATCGGACATGCCACACTTGAAATGGAAAATCACTGGAGATTACAACGACCGTACTTTCAAAAAAAATGGAAACTAGCGAAACAATTCTGAATTAAAGTTGTTCATGGTCATTCTATCAATTACTGCATTCATCAACTGTGATCATCAGTCAGCTTGAAATAATAATATTTTTTCATGGACAACAAGGGTAGATATAGATGATTTTAATATTCATGCAATATCAGATCGACCTTTTAAAATAAGAAAGTATGCAGTATATCTAAATACACAGGTTCCTTCGAACATTTTTCTTGGAAACGGCCTTGTTACAGTAAAATCTTCCAACTAGCCCGTACAGTAGTTGTAAATAATTGATAATCCAAGAAAATATTGTATTTTAATATTTTTATATTCCAAACTTAAAAGATCCCGACATTTCTAGAGGGGGATGCTTGAACCTCAATCTATTAATAACGTTGTTTTCTAGCTTGAAGAGTGTTCATTTCTGATAATTTCTCCATTGTTTCTGAATCCAAAAATGCGCAAGTATTTTTTGTATATACACCTCATATAAAAAATAATATGTGTTTATTTATATTTTTCAATTCAATCTTGATCAGACAAAGCTTTGAAGATGTACCGCCTGTGAATCGGAAATGACACTTTGGTTTACAGTCCCTTTAATATATGTTCTCCTAGGTTTACAGTCCCTTTAGTATATGTTCTCCTAGGTTTACTGTCCCTTTAATATATGTGCTCCTAGGTTTACTGTCCTTTAATATATGTTCTCCTAGGTTTACATTCCCTTTAGTATATGTTCTCCTAGGTTTACTGTCCCTTTAATATATATTCTCCTAGGTTTACTGTCCCTTTAATATATGTTCTTCTAGGTTTACAGTCCCTTTAATATATGTTCTCCTAGGTTTACAGTCCCTTTAATATATGTTCTCCTAGATTTACAGTCCCTTTAATATATGTTCTCCTAGGTTTACAGTCCCTTTAATATATGTTCTCCTAGGTTTACAATCCCTTAAATATATGTTCTCCTAGGTTTACAGTCCCTTAAATATATGTTCTCCTAGGTTTACAATCCCTTTAATATATGTTCTCCTAGGTTTTGCGAATGCGCGCTAACTTCTGACAAAGGTTGATGTAACTTCATGAGGTAAATGAGAAAGCGATTTTTAATAATTTTTGTTGTTGTTTCACAAGCTGTAATTAAGTTACGGGATGATTGGTACTATTTTTACTGTTAATCAAATTCTCTTTATAAATAGAAAAAGGGACACTTTTCATAAACTGAAAGTTTTGAATTTCTTTATATTTGTAACTAGGTGGTGTAAACTCTTGATATTTCTTTATATTTGTAACTAGATGGTGTAAACTCTTGATATTTCTTTATATTTGTAACTAGATGGTGTAAACTCTTGATATTTCTTTATATTTGTAACTAGATGGTGTAAACTCTTGATATTTCTTTATATTTGTAACTAGATGGTGTAAACTCTTTATATTTTTTTATATTTGTAACTAGATGGTGTAAACTCTGGATATTTCAAATTCAGATTAGTTTATGTAATACACACAGTTTATAGATTTAAATATAAAATCAAAAATGTCTAATTTAAGAAATATAAGAAAATTCTAATTTGTAGCGAGTGTTTAGTTCATTTAAGGATTAAGAATACCTTCTGTAATGTTTTTTATTGACTTAATATTCCATCGTGATGATTGAGCAATAAAACTTATAGCTAATTTTGAAAAAAATCATTTTCTATTGTTTAAAAACAATTGCTTGGAAATTAATAAGTTTATTATTCTGAAAAAAGATCAAATTTATAACTTTTCATATTACTTTCTTCAATTTTTTCATTTTTTGTATTCATTTTTTTCATTTTTCCAGGTGTTCCTTGAAGCCTAATAATTAGTTTACCGATGAGGGTTCGAAAGGTAAGAACGTTTTACAATAAAAAGATAAAATATAAAAAAACTATAAAAAAACAATCTTGTAAATTTGATAGATTTTCATTTACACTGTTCCAAAAAACCCGCAGTGGTTTACCTCGAGCCTTAATTTTTAACAAAAACATTGACGATTTTAGAAAATTTGTTATCGACCAAAAGTTTTGAATTGAATATGGAATTGAACTTTAGAGCCTTCAATCATGTTCTGGAAGCAAATTTTTTTGATTTTTGTTGTTTTGGAATTCCTCTCTACATTCGAGTACTACTCAATTATTATAGAGAGTCACTTTATCAATAATTGATGTAATAATGTTGTAAACAAGAAAGTGCCGCGGCAGTTATTAAACTATATGATGTGCGGTAAACACTTTACAGGGTGTTCCAAAAAAACATGACAGTTGAGAGATTCTGTAGAATGATTTGCGGCATTATTGTTTCAACCAACTTTTACATGATTAATTCTTGAAACAATCATGAAAGGCTGACCCTAAGAATCCTTTGAATTTAAGAATTTAATTTTTAAATCAGGTTGGCATTAAAAGCTTCAAATCTTATTAAAAGATCCAAGTGTCCCCTCACTAAACTGTCATGTTTACTCTCCATTAAAACCAAAAATATCTTTGGTTAGCGTACTGCAGATAACTGCAGTACACAGTACGCAACGTAAACTGATAAACATGGTTCTTGGGACACCCAGTAGTAAAATGATTAATCTATATGATGTGTTGTGTATAGTAAACTGATAAAACATGTTTCGTGGGACACTCAGTAGAAAAATGATTAATCTATATGATGAGTTGTGTATAATAAACTGATAAAACATGTTTCGTGAGACACCCTGTAGTAAAATGATTAATCTATATGATGTGTTGTGTATAGTAAACTGATAAAACATGTTTACAAGTTTATCCATTTATTGCTTTATCGAGCTTTACAACTTTCTCTCTGATTTTATTTCTTTAAAAAAAGATGACAAAAATTAACTCAACAATTTTTTTAAGATGTCAGGTAGTTTCCCAAAGGCTTTTTCCCAAGCGGCAACTTCCCAAGGGTATTTTCCCAAGTGAAAACTTCCAAAATGTGCAATTTCCCAAGCGGTAAATTCCCAAGTATGTCCTTTCCACAGCGCTTGGCCCCTAGCATGTTCTAGTCGAAGCGCTCGGCCTCCTAGCCCGTCCTAGTCGCAGCACTCTCCCTCCATTGCAGCCTACAGCACCTAAGAAGGCCCAACCTAACCTTTGGTAAGTTGCCGTATGGGAAATTGTTACTCTGGAAGTCATACTTGGGAAATGCCTTTGGAAAAATACCTAATACCGGTTCCTATTTGGTTCAACTAAATGTCAGCACACCATTTTTTGAATTTTACTAAATTGAAAAAAATACAAAAAAATGTTCTTTTATTTTGTGCTTTCAAAAAGTGTATTCATTAACCCCCGCCCCCCTTGTCCGACAAAAAATTCTCTTGTCCCTAATGTCACTTCCTATTCCCGGTTTATAACACCCCGGAAGTCAGTATTTTAACGTTTAATTTAACACCTTTAAACCACTGTTGAAAATATATTAATAATACCTGATAACCGACTCCCTTTGCCCCTCCCCCTGCTCCAATTCCCAATTTTCTCCCCCCCCCTCTGCTACATAGCTAGGGTTTCCATTTGCAAACTTCGCGCAATTTTTCCGAAAAAAACGCAAAATATTTTTTTCGTTGCGTAAAACTTTCGCGCGAAAAAAAAACAGCAATATGCGCGATCATTCACAGAAGTTTTCATTCTTTCCTTTGCTGTTAAAATCCACATGATGCATGAAAAAAAGTCGGGGCTCATGTTTTAAGTTGTTTTTGTCACTTGAAAATCGAATGATAAAATGTTTTTAGATTTGTTAGTTATTTTGAATAGATAATATGGCTTATAAATGAGTATGGGATAGATAGATAGATATGTATTTATCATTAAAGTACATAATTTTACATAGATATATTCTTTAAACTAACACTTCAATGACGGGATTTGCCAAGCCAACATTGGCCGTCTTTAATGACAAACCCGGATGTAATTGTACGATATAATTTTTAAGTTGAAACAAAACATTAAAATTAATAAAAAGGAAAGATCTGACGTCAAACTAAAATAAATTGCAATTTACCTAAGTGTTCCTTAAAACTATTTCTCTTTCTTAAACCTTCTTCTGTACAAATATACATGTATATAGGTTTAGACCGATTTTAATGAATTTGAGCTGCGGCTAAAATCTGTCAAAAACCGTCGAATTCGTTAAACTCCTTATATTCGAAGAGCTATGAAATGGAATAAAACTGTTTTAAATTTCTAAGATGTAACCAGATAACTTTACACCTTTCGTACATTGTGAGTAAAATTAAAACTAAAGGGACTATGAGGCAACAAAACATTAATGTCAAATAGATTTGGCATTCTTCTTAAAAAAGAAAAGAATAAAATTATGAAAAAATGTTTAAAAAGGAAAAAAAGAAAGAAATTTTGAGAATAAAAAAGATAAAAGAAAGTTTAAAAGGAAAGAATGAAAGAAAGTTTAAAAGGAAAGAATGAAAGAAAGTTTGAAAGGAAAGAATAAAAAGAAAGTTTTAAAAAAAGAATGAAAGAAAGTTTAAAAGAAAAGAATGAAAGAAAGTTTAATAGGAAAGAATCAAAGAAAGTTTAAAAGAAAAGAATGAAAAAAAGTTTAATAGGAAAACATCAAAGAAAGTTTAAAAGGAAAGAATGAAAGAAAGTTTAAAAGGAAAGAATGAAAGAAAGATTTAAAAAAAGAAAGAAAGTTTAAAAGGAAAGAATGAAAGAAAGATTAAAAGGAAAGAATGAAAGAAAGATTAAAAAGAAAGAATGAAAGAAAGATTTAAAAAAAGAAAGAAAGTTTAAAAGAAAAGAATGAAAGAAAGATTAAAAAGAAAGAATGAAAGAAAGATTAAAAGGAAAGAATGAAAGAAAGTTTAAAGGGAAAGAATGAAAGAAAGATTAAAAGGAAAGAATAAAAGAAAGATTAAAAGGAAAGAATGAAAGAAAGATTTAAAGGGAAAGTACAAAATAATTTTTTCTGCCATAGTTGGGCAACCGTGGTTTGTTTGGTCCTTCATCAATGATAAAAGGAAAGAATATTCATATCCGTATTTGTTAGTGGAACTTCTGACAGGAAAGGGGGGGTAAGGGGAGGGGAGGAGGAGGGAAGGGGGAGACAGGAAGTTCCAGCTTTCACTTAAAGTATTGCAGATGATATATATAATGAGAGCACACATACTAATATGGAGTACAAAGCAGTATAAACTAGGGTTTCCAATCGGAATTCCGTTGCGCGGAATTGCGTGCATCTGTTCTCGTATTCCGTGGAATTGCAAAGAAATTACAGGGCCAGCAATTGTGCGCAGATAAAACCGGCTTGCGTTGGAAATCCTATTATAAACATAATATAAATCACAACGTTAACAAATGTTTGAGAACTAAAAAGAACTTCATATTAAAAAAAATAAAAAGTAAATTCATAGTTTCTTATTTTTCTTAAAATGTTCTCAAAACTTTATTTTTCTAATACCTAATTCTTGATGTTGCAAACCTTTGATATTTTAAACTTTTATGTAATTGATTTAGCAAAGTCCATTCTTTTCTGCGTAAACGGTCTACGACATTGTCTAATCATTTCATTTACATTTTTTTCAGACGCTTTTTTAGGTTTTTACTGAGAATAAAATCAAATCTAAAACCTTTTTATTTTTATATCATTATTTTTTTCAGAGACATCGTTGGCCTCCCAATCAGAGCGTACTGTTACTTCTGGTGTTAGCTCTAGATTCTGCTAAGGTAAATATATAGAGAAGTAATGGGCGTTGTGTATACTTGAATTTTGGGATTTTTTATCTCAAAATTTATAAAAAGTAATTGTTTTTATTCATATATTAACTATTAACAATATAATTTAAAATACTAGCTAAAGTGCCCGGCGTTGCCAGTGAAATTTTAAAAAGAAAACGCTAATTTCGATTTTTTTGGCCTATGTCGTCTCCATGGGTACCCATTGGAATCCCCTAAAAAAATTTCAGCCAATTTGGTCCAACCGTTTGGCCAGGTATACTATAGCTAACCCATGAATATATATGTATAAATCTTTTTTGTCATCAAAAAACTCTTTGAAATAATACAATTAATCTTTTTTACTGACTGGACCGGAGACGGGGGAGGGGTCGGGACAAGGGGGTCAATGCACCTTGGAAGCCTATAGAAACCTTTTCGGGAAGACTTCTAAAATATTATCATATAAGTTTTTGCAAACAATTGCAACATTGCAAAATAAATCATAATGAAGGTCACATGTTGCAGAAATATATTTGTTAATGAATGTAAAACTAGAGGGGTTGGTAATGATCAATAAAGATAACATTTTACGCGTCCCTGATGAATAAAATGTCGCGTAATAAAACAAAATGGCCGCTAGGAGACAATAGAAAGGGCGGGAAACCATTATTCTACACTTTTAATTGTTTCTCTCACAATACGTCTGGTATTTCAACAAAGAAGGGAGTGCTGTATTACATGTACTGCTCACATAACTGTACAATATTAGATACAGACTCTCCAGTGTTTTTCGGTAAATTATATTATCTGTATGTAAAAAAGGTGATAGATTTTTGCCTTTTTATAACTGGACCCGCCCCCCACCCTGCCTTAGATGTTATGTGCCCCCAAAAAAATTCTTCAGAATTTCAGGCTCGTAATTTTAACAACTGTGACCGCAATTGATATTTTGCATTTTAAAAATTCACCGGTAAAAAAAAATTCAACACAAAATAAATAATTTTCACAGTTAAAAACATGAATATCTCATTAATTTTTTTATATTACAAAAATTGTGAATCTGACATGCCACTCTAACTAATGAAGGGTCACTTAAAATATGATGTATTTTGTTCGAACATCGTGTCAGTAACACTTAACCTTTTGGGCATTTTAACAATTATTCCGAAGGATTTAAGAATTGTTGTGGTAAATTTTTTTTTCAGGCTCAATGTTTTGGAGGAGTTGAAACTTATGAGAAAACTTCCGGGACAACTGTTTTATGTACATCAGAATGTACAAGTCAGGTAATAGCTATGTACATCCTTGAGATCATCTTTGGATTAGTCGCTTCAGCCTTTATAGCTATGTACATCCTTGAAAATATCTCTGGATTGTTGGGCAGGTTGACCCATCTAGCATCTGGAACAAACCGTTTAGCTTTTAGAATTAGCAGATTATAATTGGAAGGCTTTTTTACTAAATGTAGAACCGGTTGTTGCTCTGTGTATTTTAATTAACTAAAATGGCCATCCTATAGTCTGTGAGCTTTAATTAGCAGTATAAATTAACATTCTCCAGTCTCATAAAAATTTATGGACTTTTGATGAATAATTATGTTTTCTTTAAGCATGTTTTCCTGAAAATGAAGGTTTTTAAAGCTATAATTACTGAAAATTGACGTTTGAAATAAGTTAGAAAGTATTGATTTTAAAAACTCAATTTAGAAACCTAACAAATTTTTGAGGAAAAATTCAGTTGGAAGCTTTTTTGGTTTGAAAAAGTTTGTTTTTATCATGAAATTACAAATATTACAATATAAAATTACTGAAATTAAAATTACAAATAAATTACAAAATATTGAATTCAAATACTCAATTTTAAAATTCCTTAAATTTTAAATCATTTTGATAAAAATATCATTTTGAAAGAATTCTTGGACGAAAAAATTACATGTTGGATGTTGCTTTTGATTTGTGTTCCTTGAAATTTGTTGAATTAAAGACCAAAACATGATTTAATTTAAATACAAGAAACCGAATGTATCTCGCCCCATGGTTAGTCAGAGCCTGAAATTTAAGACAGAATATCGTTATGAAACCCAGTATCGAAACCAGGATAAGGAAATTTTGTAGATATGAATTTTATGATTGGACGTATTATTTAATACTAACCAGAGTACCCGCCGTTGCCCGTTTGGCCAGCTAAAGTTAACAAAGAAATATATATATATATATATCNGCGAATTTATTTAGGATTCATTTGACAATTACTGAGTTTGAGCGCAAAGTCGACGTTCAAAATCATCCAATTTGGTGGTTACGTTTTGAGAATCGATTTTTTTTTTATTTTTAAAAACGGCGACAAAAATTTAAAAAAAATTCTATAATAAACTAATTAGATGTTTAGGAACATTTTTCTCAATTGAAATTTTCTCAATAAATCAATGTTAGAATCAATTTTTTCCTTTTCATCATTTCATTGAATTTCTTATTCTTCATGAATTTGTTCGCATTCTTTAATTGTTAAAAGCTGAATAAGATTACATATTATAAATGTTAATTTTTATTTCTTAAATCTGTTCTTAACAACTAGTTAGTTTACTGTAGAATTTTTACTATATTATTATTATTATTATTATTATTATAATTATCATTATTATTATTCTTTCTAAAGACTATCAGAACAGTCGATGCCAGAGCTACAACATAAACACGGAAACCGGAAACGGAAGACGGGCTCTACAGACAGATTCAGGTAAAAGGGATTGTTCACAAAATAAGAATTCAATTTAAAGAGACTGTTTACACAGTTTGAAAGTTGCCTTTCATTAAAAAAAGGGCACATCTGATTCACAGCGGTATCTTTGCAGGAAAAAAAGAGGAAGATTTAAGTTTTCAATAAAATAAGATTTTCTGAAAATAAATCAAGAGGTTTTAAAAAGCAAAGCAAAGTTACCTTCATTCTTGTGAATATATCTCTCATCTCTCATCTCTCATCTCTCATCTCTCATCTCTCATCTCTCATCTCTCATCTGTTATGATATTTTCATGATTTACATAGATATAGGCAGATACCTTGTAACATATATACACCCATACCGACAAAGGATAATATTTCAGAGACGACTGTCAAGAATTTATTTAGTTTTTCGTGTTTCTTTCTTTGCTAAATCGTTTCGTTTATTTATTAGATGTCTTTATTCAAGTTTTTAAAATAGTTTGGGTCGTCTTTAAAGTCTCATCATTTGTGAATACTAGGTGTTGTGCCCAGCGTTGCCCGTGGAATTGTCAAGAATCAAATATTAAAAAATAGTTTTCAGAAAAATGTGTTACCCCCAGCCTCCCAGGGTACCCATGAGTTTCCTCAAAATATTTTAGCCTATTCGGTCCAGCCGTTTGTCCAGCTATAGCTAATATATAAATATATATAAATGTATACAAATATATATACATGAGCGAAGAGCTTGTTTATAAAGATATATATGTTGATCATGCATTATAAAGTTCTATTCTCTTGACGTCACGTGATGGGAGGAAACTATTTGTCAAGCCTTTGTCCAGACAATCTGTAGATGGGATAAAATGGCAGAATCCACTCGAGAAATTGTAAAGTTTGAAGTTTTGAATAAATATTTTAAAGAACTTGAAAACTTTATCCTTCCATTTTGTAAATGTTAGTTTTAAAGAAGTTATTGGCAAAATTCCATTTTCTGTTGCGAGAGCTTGCAAGGTCTTAATCCCTATTTAACACTTGCAATGAGCAAAAATATATTCTGTAAACTGTAGGTGTAAACTTCTTCGAGAAGATTTGTCTACGTGGTGTCCGGCAAAACCAGTTTGACCAGATGTGTAACGGGGAGCGAGGCTGGGCATTCGAGCGAGTCATCGGCTCGGCACTCGAAGGATTTGATCATAAGGTATTTTTTGTTTCGTTTTTGATGATATTTTTAACCCTATCCCTGCTGGGGTACTTGAAAACCAGGATATGCTGGAGGGGGGTCAATTTGACCCCCCCCCCCTCTAAATCCCATGTTTTATGTCCAAATATGACAAATGCTCTTGTGCTTTACTTTTAGAATCTGCAAAAAAATTTGCAAATTTGCAAAAATTGAATTTTTTATCGCAAAATCCAGTTATATAGTAAAAATGTTTGTAAAAAAAAATTTGTCCAAAAAATTATACATTTTTTAAAAGCCCTTGACCATGCCATTTCAAATATGCAAAAATTTTTGCAAAATTTTAAATAACCTGATTTTTAATGAAGAAAAACTAAAAATACGCAAATTTCCTTTGATAGGTTGTTTGCAAAAAAATTGCAATTTTTTTCTCGCAAAACTTGTGCAATCCGTTTCCTTATGTCATAGGCTTTCCAAAAAGCTAAATTTTATCAAAATCTGACAAGTGAAAGTGGGTCAAAAAAAAGATTTAGTTTGTTACAGGCAAAAGCAGTCATTCATGCAGTGTGCCTGAGGACTCAGGCAGTTAGTATTAAAGCCCGGTTTTAGGCCTAAAGGAAGCGCTTTGGGTATGTAAGAAAAGTCAGAAAATTTCAACAGCCTCAGACCAATACTTTTTGAATTATGTAAAAAAAACTACAGGGGGGGTCAAATTGACCCCCTCCCCCCCCCCCCAGCAGGAATAGGGTTAAACCTTTGAAGGGAGTGACCGACAATGTTAAACTGATAATGTAGTATTGTGGCGAATTTATTTAGGATTCATTTGACAATTACTGAGTTTGAGCGCAAAGTCGACGTTCAAAATCATCCAATTTGGTGGTTACGTTTTGAGAATCGATTTTTTTTTTATTTTTAAAAACGGCGACAAAAATTTAAAAAAAATTCTATAATAAACTAATTAGATGTTTAGGAACATTTTTCTCAATTGAAATTTTCTCAATAAATCAATGTTAGAATCAATTTTTTCCTTTTCATCATTTCATTGAATTTCTTATTCTTCATGAATTTGTTCGCATTCTTTAATTGTTAAAAGCTGAATAAGATTACATATTATAAATGTTAATTTTTATTTCTTAAATCTGTTCTTAACAACTAGTTAGTTTACTGTAGAATTTTTACTATATTTTTCGTTGTTGTTATTAAATATTTTTTTAAACCCCGATTCTCAAAATCGTCCCTGAAAAATGAACAAGCTATTATGATTTTAAAGATTTCATTTTACGCTCTTGCTGAACGAATATGCACCGTAAAACGTCTCATCGGTCTCAAATGATTCCTTAAAGATTTCTCTGCAATACTGCATTCTCAGTTCAACTACCATACATTGCCGGTCACTCCCTTTAAAATCGAAAAACAAAATAGAAGACAATAGTTAAGAAGCAATAATTATTATTTTGTTTAAATTTGTTTCTTTTTTGAAAACAATCATCAAAACGTTCTCGTTTTATTTTCATCGCTATATAACGAAACGTTTTTATTATTCGTTTTTTATCGTTTCCAAAACAACGATTTGGTTTCAATCATTAACTATATCATTTTATAGCTATTTAATTCTGAAAATTTTCTTTAAGATTCTATTCAAATCAATATTTCTTTGACCAATCAGGATCTTCGGTTACGATTTATTACACAAAAAAGTAAACAATCCTCTCTCCGTATTTCAATTCACTCCTGTATGCCGAGTTCATTAGCGCTTGATCCATGATCAGTGTGCAGTCTATTCTGAACCAATAGAAATAGTTTGGCGGTAACAACTATCTTTCTATCTATCTCATTATCCAATAAGAGATAAATCCTTATATCGGCGCTACAACAGTAAATGGAAATATTTACTTCTACTGTAACTTTAGTCTATTGGGTCGAAGTAAGGTAACCTGCGCTCAAATTTGATGATAATTAAGTTTAATTAAATATTTTTCTTTCAGGACTAAAGAAATTGAGTTTTTGTCACAAACTGTGATTTTCTAATTCCTTTATCTTTGCAGTCCAATGTTGTAGATATTTGACATTTCTGTTAGATCAAATATCAAAGGTTTACGACATAGGGTTCAAAAGATATAGGGATTATGAAATTAGATTTTGTGGCAAAGACTCATCTCCTTTACCTTATAGTGTAAGCTAGTGAAAACAATTTCAAAACTGTTTGTTCTAAATATTTGCTTTTTTAGTCTACACCAAGTTTTGACCGTAACAGAAAATGTCTACTGCAACAATAAAAAACGTTTCATAAACGATCCAATAATGAGTGTGCAATAACGATCGTCTTTTTTTTGATAAATGGTGCAACCTTTATCAGAAAAAAATGTGGGCTTAAAAGTTTTTGAAATGGAACCAAAACAATTATTAACATTTATAAGTATAACAAATAATATCTATTATAATATCAGGAGGTTCGCAGTATAGAGACTAGAAGCGAGTGTGCTCGTCTTTGTCTTCTAGAAGAAGAGTTTCCCTGCAGGTGGGTCCATTTTGCAATACAATGTTAAATGTAAACAACAAAACAAAGGAATTGAGTTTTTGCCACAAACTCTGATTTTAGAATCAATGTCTTTGCAACCCAATGTCGAAGATTTTAAATATTTCAAACTATGAATTCTTTTATATAAAATAATCTATGTTTGAAATATTGAAAGTTTACACCATCAGATTACAAACATATAATGCTTAAAATTCCTTTGATAACTTTAGGAGGCTTGCATAACAACCTTGAGCTCAGTTATTTAATGTACAGAGTGTCCCACGAAACTTGATAGTAGAAAGACGACTTGTAGTTTATTTGAAGTAAACGTATTGCTACTATAATGTTTCGCGGTGCACCCTGTGTTTCATGCAGAATTCTTAATTCAAAGACCACTTTTGACAACAAAACATCAAGAATTTATTGAGGGATGTTTTGAAGGCAAAGTTGGTTAAAGACACCTGTGATTTAGTAAACCTTTTAATTTTCAGAAAAAGAGGTTGTAAATATTTTTTTATGAAATCTTCGCATATCGGGTGATTATTTTACTTGATTGTCCCAAGGGACAAATTTAACTTCTGATATGATAGATGAATCCTGGATCAGTAAATTTTCTAGAAACAATTTTAGTTTTAAAATGATGTTTTTAAGACGCCATTTAATTTGTAAATAAAACTAAAAACTTCGCGAATTTTTTAGATTAATTTTGATTTCACAAGACTGTGAGATACAAAAAAAAATTGGTTTAGGTGTTTTTTACGTTTATTGGATACTTAAATGAAACCAACTAACAAGTCAAATAGATAGATAGATAACTAAGTTTAATTTCCAAAGTGAGCTTAAACGAGATTATAGAAATTGTAAAAATGAATATTAGGGTGGGCCTACACTTTACAGTTATAGATTTTATCCAAGCAGTCACACAAAAACAAATGAATTGACAAATTTTTAAAACTTTCAGACAAATAATTTCGAGAATCATTCAATCAAGTGAAATTATTAAGATTACATTTATTGTGATTATAATTTTTTACAATATTCCAATTCCATTTATAGAATTTTATTTTCAAAAATCAAATTGTATGCAACAAAATATTCAATTAAATTTTTTTCATTGTTAAACTTTCAATTACCTTTTTGAAATTTAATTTTACATAACACTTTTGAAAAGTTAGATTGCACAAAATTACATTTTTACAATGTCGAATTCCATATTTATATTAAACTTCAACTGTAATTTTAGATGAAATATACATTTTTTGTATATTTCTAATTATATCCATGATACAAAATTAAATTGCATTAAATGTAGCTTTATGTATTAGAATGAAAATCTTTCTAATATTCTTTGGGTTTGAGGAAATTATTCAGATTTAGGTTGAATATGGAGATTTCCTTTTTGAATATTGCTACCATTTGTTAAATCCAACCAAGGACTTTCAGCATTTTCATGATTCTTCATTTAAAAAAGATTTACATTTAACAAATATTTTGAAAAAAAATAAAAGTAAGATTTTATCAAATTAATCGATCAATAGGGGGGAATGAATGAATAAAAAAATCAATAAATTTACCAAAAATAAATATGTAGATGAATAAATTAATATATCAATAAATGAATAAATGAATAAATATTTTAATGGACTAATTTATCAGTAAATCAATAAATGTACTATTAAATGAATAAATGAATAAATAAATAAATGAAATAAATAGGATGAATAAATAAATATATGAAATGAATGAATAAATGAATAAATGAACAAATGAATAAATAAATAAATGAATAAAGGAATATTAAGAATAGATGAATAAATGAAATGAATGAATGAATATTATAGGTCTGCAGAGTTTAGTTCTGACTCTAAGACGTGTATATTGAGTAGAGAAGATAGAAGAACGCAACCAGAAGCATTCAAGAAGGGAACAAAGTAAGCTGAATATATATATTCAGTTAGAACCATAAAAGCGTGATAAAGGAGAATATCATTATAACAAAAAATAAGTGTATTGGATGTTGTTAAAAAGTTAATTGTTTTACTCGTGACTGTGTCTCATGTTCATTAGACTATTTAAAATCATAACTTTAGTCTAAATGACGTCTTCCTATTCCACAGCTTTCTGGTTCTCACTGTATTCATCCGTGTTTAACACAACAACAAATGTAATTTGATGTAACGAATTCTTTTAAGATAATCTTTTTGTCCATTTTGTTTTGATCCAACACGATCTTTTTTTTAATTAGTTTATTTAGGCCGAATATCGACTACATAGAAAACCAGTGTGCAAAACAGCTTCCAGATTGTGCTTTTACACAGGTAGGACAAATTAGAAGAAATTATTCTATTTTTCCATATTAAAGGACTGTAAGCGTAATTTCAAGTGATCCTCCATACAAGAATGGTAATGCCCGATTTACAACAGTATCCTTGAAAGGTTTGTCTGATAAGTTTGATTTTGATATCAATGTTTATGTTTTTTTTTAAATTATTATTTTCATTTGCGATTTTTCTGCGAAAGTGACTTGCACATTTCTTGTTTTGAGAAGCAAAAGAGAAACTCGTACAGAAATAAATATTTTAGTCATAAAAACGACGGTATCTTTAAAGGTTTTAAGGGTACCGTTGTGAATCGGGCATTACCATCTTTGCATGAAGGGTCACTTGAAATTACACTTAGACTTAAAGTTCATTTAAGCAGGTTCTTAGTCTAATGATATACTTTATTCTAGAACTGTCCAAGATTAATACTTTATTATATCAGGCTGAGAAGGATGTGACAGTGGTTGCTATGAACGATATATTCTATTCTAGAACTGTCCAAGATTAATGCTTTATTATATCAGGCTGAGAAGGATGTGACAGTGGTTGCTATGAACGATAT